TTTTATTTTTAAAATAAAAAATTTCAAAAAAATTTCAAAAAAATTTTAAATTTTTTTTTCTCTTTTCTTCTTTTTCTGTATTATTATTATTTTCTTTCTCTTGAAAAAAAAAATTTTAAAAATTATTTTTTTTAAAATAAAAAAAGAAAAGATCTTTTTTTAAAAATTATTGTGTGATATATTATAAATGTTTAATTTATTGTAGTATTATTATGCATATTTTTGTCTTGTTTAAATTAGACAAGCATGAGATTGCGCGGTAATATTTTGCATGTTATTTTTATTATCGCTGTATTATTATGCATTTTTTAATACAATCGCATAAGTTGTGTTTTGAATGTCATCTGACTTAGTTAAGGTTAGAACCTTAGGCTGCATGAATTGTTGTGTTTCTGATTGCTGATCGTTTCTGATTATGCACTCGCTTGATCACCTCACATGTTAGGAGAAAGGTCCTAAAATCAATCCAAATTGCCTGACAAATGTTTTCAGAAATGAATAGGGTAAAATGGTACTGAAAGGGCATTAGTTATCCAACTAGTGTAACCAAGTCCCCGAACTCATTTAATCTCTGGTTCGTAGGAATAGGGTGATTCTCCCATCACCCTATTTGGGTTTCTAATCAACCCACCCCAAATCGATTAGTGGCGACTCCTTGATATAAACCACCTGCATGTTAAAAACTTAAACCCTAAGTCGCGATATGGTATGGGCTTGGGAGAGCCCGAGTTAAGTCCCTAACCTAGACTTAGTACGTACCAGGCGAGCCCCCCTTTTTTTTGCATGTTGTTTAAAAAGGGTTCGGGAGTTCGGTCGCAACAACTACGTGAAGTCAAAAGATAATGTTGCGGATCCATTAACAAAAGGCCTAACTAGAGAGTTGGTTGTAAAAACATCAAGGGGAATGGGTTTAAAACCTATAAAATAAGTCATCATAGCGGAAACCCTACCTAGTTGACTGGAGATCCCAAGATCTAGGTTCAAAGGGACAACCAAGTTATGCAGGCGGAGTAGTGTACTGTCAACTCTTACTCATTCCCGTATGAAGACAGTACTAACATGTGGAAGTTAAGTGTAAGCTTTTAATGATTCTGATTCGGGTACGTAATATACCACACAATCAGAAATCACCTATGTGAGTGTGAAGTGAGGGCCGCTTCTATGAAGAATTTGAAAGGCCAAATTCTTCAAAATCAAATTCTTCAAAAGCACTCATGAAACCAGGCGGTGTTCATGGCCAAAACGAACACAACAGTGAGAACCAACTTTGTTTGAGAGATAATTGTGTGATTTCTATTGTCTTGACTTACACCGAAGGTCGACAGTTCAAAGACATCAAGTCTACTGATTGACCAAGTAAGTCTGATAGGTCTCACTAGGGAAAGTTCAAAGCCTCAGACTACTTATCCCAATGCAACATTCTCTCATGGAATAATCGCACATTGCATCTCATGCATACACGAAGAGTCATGATATCTAAACTTCTCATTCATGTGGGGGATAGTTGGGATTTTAGTGTCCAAAATCCATAAATTGTGAATGAGAAGTGTGGATGGAAATAGTCCCACATTGGATAGAAGTTGTGATAGGAGATGGTTTATTTAGATGAGCCTCTTAAATGGGTTTGGGCCCCAAGGGGTACCCCACTTTTGTGGAAGGGAGAGGACCTACGCCAAGCTAGGTCGGTCGCTGCCACCGTCCGTCCGGTCGGCTCGGTTCGGTTCGGTTCCGGGTCCATTCCATCGGCTTTTATTTTTTTCCAAACAGACACGTTTTGTTTAGAAATTATTGATTTGTTTATTTTGGACAAACAAACATGTTTGTTCGTGAAGGTTCGGTTTGCCCGAACGAAAACCGTTTCGGTTCAAGGCTCGGCTCGCGACTGTTCACGAACCGGACGGAAACCGCTTGGCTCGCGACTATTCACGAACCGAACGGAAACTACTTCGGTTCGAGCGAGTCTTCATTGCTTGCAACTCTCAATTTTCGCCACATAAATAACCGAACTGTTCTGTTCGGTCGAGACTCTTCGTGGCATATTTATTCCCGCGAGACATTTTCCCGACGCACTCTAGACATTTTCATTTTTTCTGTTTCTTCATCATTGTCATTTGTGCGATTATTCTACGAAGTTGCGTTCGAATATTTCCTTTGAAGAAGTGCCGCTTCTTTGGAAAGGCGATCCGTTCTATCCTGGGAGACAATTGTTCAACAACCTTGGGTACCGGTAGAGGGGACAAATTGTCTTAAGGACATAACGTGAATTCGTTGGGCTCGGATTACTCGTCAGAACGTGATTTCAGGTTTGTCGAACAACTCTATTTTTGCAAATACAAGCACTATTACGTCACAACACTTCCTACGTGTGTATGGTCATGTCTGGTCAAACATATATTGGACAAGCAAAGAATGAATGTCTGATGACAAATGTTGATGACAAGAAATATAAAATTCAATCAACTTTCCTAACATTGCCTATAAACTATATAGCCTAAGTTCATCTCAATCGTTGATCACCTGTATTTTATGGTGGGATCATACAATTAATGATTAAGATGGTATTGATCTATATCGTCTATAATCACTGGCTGGTCCCTGTTCACCTCCATCGGCTCGAGTGGAAGCTCATCACTTCTCTCTCTCTCAACCGAAGGTCCATAACCTCGAAAAGTGGTCGTGGACCGCTAGGTCATGACCTCAATTCAAAGGTTCTCTCTCAACTGACGGTCCACAACCTTGAAAAGTGGTCGTTGACCGCTAGGTCACGACCTCGAAATGAAGAAAGTTTTCAGATTTGAAAATCTTCGTGAGAGAGAGAGAGAGAGAGAGAGAGAGAGAGAGAGAGAGATGAATTAACGCGCAGCGAAGGCAAAATGTTCTACTGCCAAGTATACTGATAGTCATATTCAAGTGGCCCTGCCGCTACCTGTCGTTGCAATATGTTCCTATATGGTATTCTCCAAACCTCAAGTACCAATTTTTTTTACATGAAAGTGCATGAAAATCCTTATTATCCATCAGTATTGAAGATACTTGGATCGAGTCGCAAAAAAACCCAATACCTGTTACTTTGGGCTAATTAAGAATATGATTTTGGGTAGACGAGTGGAGTTAAAAGCACATTCCTATGTTTAAAAGAAAAGGCTCAAGTTCAAACACTCATTCTCGAGGGAAGGAGATTGATAAAATCAAAGGGTGTTCCCATCCAGGGTTTTACGGAAGATAGGTTTTTGTAGGAATTTCGAGATTACTATGCATCTTTTCAATAGTAAAAAGAGACTTGAAGTGATCTTTGATCCCCCTTGCTTAAGTCAATTTAGCACTAGTCCAATTAAAATGCAATCTATGTGGGCCTAATGCTATTAGATGTTCCTAATATGCAAATGCAAATTAGTAATATTTTTGTTTAAGGGTCGAGGTCGACCCCTAATATTTTATTATATTGAATTGCTAAATGTGGTCACCAAAAATTATATGTCAACAAACATACTAAACGTTGAATCTGAATCACCATAAGCCAAACCTGGCAAGAGTTCATGCACAATGTAGCTCCTCATGCCCTCTCCTGCACTGAAACCTCGCCATTAACTAGTTTCATCCATTATAAGTACGAATTTACAATTTCATGCAGTAAATGTACACGCACATGGATCGGTCGCAACTTTGTTCAACTTGGATCTCTTTTTTCACCAATATTACAGTACTTCTATTGATTAGTAATGCTTTATTGAGTTTTTCCAGCATGGGGCGTCTAGATGTGTGTTTGTTTCAAGTTAAAGCATGTATATGTCATAAAAAAGGAGTCAGATAAAGCCTGCTCGGATTCCTAAAATTATTCAAAAGCAATAATGGACCCATCAACGAATATTTTCATATAATAAGCCTCTCTATTCAACGTCACCACTGAAAACTACTCGATTATTAATGCACTAACAAAAGAAATGCCTCCAAACTTCAGCATTTTTAATCTTTGCTGGTTGAGATGGTGATGTTAGCTGCAGAAGATGCTTAACCAGCGTCTAATAGAGTTGTCGACCTAATAAGATTAGTTTAGATTATTCTGAGTGATGATCGTAAGGTACTTCAATAGGGACTATCTTTTTCTTGAACAGCAAGGAGAAAGAGGGCGAGAATTCATTCAAATTATTTATAACTGATTTACTCTATATAGCTAATGACGACCGCAACATCTCTAACTCTGAACTTTCGTGGATTATATCGGTAACCAATACGCAGGGGATGTTAACACTGTGTCACAGTATTACACACTCAAATAGGTGACCTCCCGTTTAGTTTTCAGCAAGCATGTTGAAAATTTTAAAACGATACTGAACATTTTGATTTATTTGGGATATCAAGTGATAGCATGATACTTATTAAAATGTTTTACAATAATATTTATTGAAGTAATCTACCCGTCCACATCTGACATGCTCGCGTTAGGTAAGAGTTAGATTTAGATTTCTTGTATCTTGATGCATGCAGACAAAGGCAACGTCCTAAGCAGTAGCAGTAGTAACCGATCTAAACAGATAAATTTAATGAATGATGCAACGCTATTATATAATACATTAAAAGTGATCTATGTGGTAAATTTAAAGAATTGGACACAATGGAGCATTTAAGGAGGGAGAGACTTATTTGTGCTTCCCAAAATACCTGACAATCGTCCTACCCCAAAAGCTTAATTACCAAATATTATCAAGTTTATTCGTAATACGGGAGTTGCGGATGATGCGAGGAGTACCAAAAGTATTTCCAAAATCTCTTTCTATAAAGATGATATAAGAAAGCTGAATGCTGTGCATCGAAAAAAATCAATTTGACCAAGTAAGACCTATACACACAGTGATTAACTCAAGTAAACAACGAGACACCCCCTACATGTGAAAAAAGGAGTCAGCCAAAGCCTTTCCGGATTTCTCATGCAATAAGTTCCTCTATTTAACGTTATCACTGACAACGTAGGGTAAGCCCCTTTTGTCCCTTCGCCGAGCCTTAAGTTGCTATATTAATAAGCCTTCACTCTGAAATTGTCCCTCACTTCCTCCACCATGACACCCTCTCAACCTTCCCAAGCAAAGTACTTGCGAGAAGATGACATCTCCCAAAAATGCCGAGACCTCCTTCCCTCGCTCCCTCACGAAAAAGGCTGGATCACCCCCTCTCTCTACCAATACCAAGACTTCTGGGTTGCCCCGAAGCTCCTGAACAGCGTCCTCGCTTGCCAAGACAACTTCCGAGCCCAAGAAACCGATATCTTCCTCATCACTGCCCCCAAGTCCGGCACCACCTGGTTGAAGGCCATCCTCTTCTGTCTCTTGAACCGGGCCAAGTACTCGGGTTCAATGCAACAACACCCTCTCCTCACCCAAAGCCCCCACGACCTCGTGCCGTTCTTGGAGCTCAAGCTCTACTTCGGGCAAGAGATCCCCAACCTCACCTCACTACCACCCCCGAGGCTCTTCGCTACCCACTTGCCTTATCAATCACTTCCACAGTCGGTCAAGGACTCTGGGTGCAAGCTGGTGTACCTGTGCAGGAACCCTAAGGACACCTTCGTCTCGCTCTGGCACTTTGCCAACAAGCTGAGGTCCAAAGAGACGGGCGGGATGCCTCTTGGAGAGTGCCTCGACGCTTTCTGCCAGGGCGTAAGCCCGTTTGGACCCTACTGGGACCACGTGCAGGGATACTACAAGGTGAGCTTGGAGATGCCTGACCGGGTGTTGTTCTTGAGGTACGAGGACATGAAAGAGGATCCGCATGTTCATGTCAAGAGACTCGCCGACTTCTTGGGGTGTCCGTTCAGCGAACAAGAGCTGAGAGATGGGACCGTGGACGGCATAGTGAGGATGTGTAGCTTCGACAGTTTGAGCATGTTGGAGGTGAACAAGAGCGGGCAGTTATCGACTGGACAAGAGACCAAGTCGTTCTTCAGGAAAGGCGATGTCGGAGATTGGGTGAATTACATGAGTGTCGAGATGGGAGGGAAAATTGACCGTGTCATGCAAGAGAAGATGCACGGTTCAGGGTTGAAGCTTTGATCTTGATTTGGGTTTATGATGATGGCAATAATAAGCACTATGGCCAATGTACAGTTGGCCAATGAGGTTCAGGGTTGAAGCTTTGATCTTGATTTGGGTTTATGATGATGGCAATAGTAACCACTATGGCCAATGTACAGTTGGCCAATGAGGTTCAGACTTGTGCGAATAAAATAGTGTCATGATGTGGTGGATAATTAATCCCAGTGTTAAAACTATAAGAATGTACTTGTGCTTCTATAAATGCATCGTCCTTCCTTTTTCTAGTGAGAAGATTATGTTTTTAATCCTTATTAGCTGACGAAATGGAATTTATACTGTAAGTAATTCCACCATATGAAATGATAAAATGTCAAAATGTGCATACTAACTCCCCAAAGTCAAGCAGTGAGGTAGGTCACATTACTATATCATGTACAATATCTTTGAAATTTCACATAATACAAGCTCTTCAATAAAACAATTTTTTTTCAATTAAATCTTACCAGGACTTAGAAGGTGAATATTTCAAAACATATATTTCTAGTTAGATGGGATAAGATTTGAATAGGATAAGAAGTAGAACCGAAGCAAGTCTGTCTCATCCTCATTATGCTTTTACAATTTGTCCTTAATTTTTCTTTGAATTGTTGGCAGAATTTAATTAATAAATGTGAAAATGAGAACATAGAGGGAATCGTTCTCCTAAGTATAGGAGGCCCATCTTCTCTTTGTATAATAGTATACTCGAGTAATGCTAGACGTAGTAAGATATTTTTACTATTATATTTGACCAACTAACATGGGAAACATTGATTGGTTATTTAAACAAAACAAGTATCAAACCTTGTTATTTCTTCTTGGGTTAGGTTTCTTAGAAATGTTTATTTTGAGTCCTTACCTAGCGAGTACTAGCTTATGTACGCGTGTAATGCGCATTACGGTGAAGTTTACGTCTCCTGATTTAGGAATTGGGAGCAAGCAATGAAAACTTGATATCTTCACCTAAAGAGATCACTAAGACGGAGTCCAAGTTCGAGCCCATCAACATATCCAGTTGAATCAACCGTCACTCAAAGTTTAAGCTAATGATTTATAAGCTAACTAGAATATATTAATTACTCAACACCATACCAATTCTCCGATGTGGGACTTTTCTAACATAGCTCACACGTGCATCTCAACACTCTCCTCCTCACATGTGATCTCGGTGTTAGTTCTACTCCCTCTTAATTTAGGTATCTTTCTGCATTAATATATTTCAACTTTTTCTTTTTTGGTCGAACATGCCTCCACTAGAATATCTACTTTGTTGCCTTATGAGTACCACAACAACAACAATGCCCCCTTCATCCCTCGCCTGTTTCTAGCAATTAATTTATTTATTGCTTTGATTTATTGAATGTTACTTTAGTGATTGCACACCAACATGTTCACTCTTGCATGTTAGTAGCTTAGGCTTAAAACTCACCAAGACTACTTGCAATGCATTTTTGAAAATAAAGAAAAAAGGTATCAAAGGGGCGTTAGATTAATCTAGCATAATCAAGTCCTTGAATCCATAGAATCTCTGGTTCGTAGAAGTAAAATATGCTCCCACATTTTACTTAGGTGTATAATCAACCCTAACTAATTAGTGGTGGCTCCAAAAGGTAAGAAAATTGTATGATAAATCGAGTACCAAGTTACGATTAGTAGGGCTTGGAGGAGTCCGTGGTAAACGTAAGTGATCGCCTCATAAGAGGAACTTTCATTCCCGTTTAGTAGTCCATTAGTAGCTTTCCCTATGTTGGTTCATTTCTGGGAAGGTCGCGACAGAGTGCCTCGACAAGTTTTGTTGAGGGCTGAGCATGCACAGGCCTTACTAGGACCATGAGCTGGGTTAGCACAAGGTGAGCTCGGAGATGAGTTCTAAAATGGGCGAGAGAATTGATGGTTTCATGGAAGAGAAGCTGCATGGTTCTGGTTTGAAGCTTCGAAGTTCGGTTCAATAGAAACAGTGTCCACAGATTATAGATAGAGCCAATCGCGCTGTGTTATGTCTTAGTTTTGAAGATGTTCGGTTTGATGGTGGAAAAGAAAAAGTGCAAAATGGTAAAAATAAAAAAGAAACGATTTGATAGCTCACTGTCAATGTGTGTTATGTGTTCATTTTTAAGCTATAAAATGTCTCGAGTTTGAGTCTATAAATGAAATCCGATCCAAATTGAAGTGCGGGAAAATCTGACTGTAGAATGAAAGTCCAAAGTAGAGTTGGAATTCGACTGTGAGGAAAGGACTTAAAATAGGAAAGCTGTTCATGATTTTTCACATAAAACATATTGAGCTTTCTTTCTACGAGTTGGAGTCGGTTTTTAACGTTTACATGTGGGGGTCAGAGTGATGTTGCTTCCACGCCCTAGATATTTAAAAACTCATTTTGTCTTGTATGAGGTGTGAAGCAGAAGGTTTGGATTTAATTCTTCGAGATTTTCATCCTGGTGCCGCATGTCTTATCGTCAATTACTTCTCGGCACGTGTTTTGAACCAATTAAATCTTGTCGTAAGATTTGCGTAATTTCTTCGTGAGATTGAGAGATTATTTCGTAAGTAATTACGAAACTAAATATTATGTAAGTTATTGGATGTAATTGGGGTTAGGAAACACTAAAAATATGTGAGTGACTCAAGTGTGGTTGTAATTTCTATTATGTCATTTGATCTGTGATGAAATTTATTACTGTTCTTCCCATAAATATAGGTCTTACCAACCGAATCATGTAAATTTAATATACTATCTATTTTCTTATTTTATCTATTTATTGTTCGATCGCTCACAAGCTATAACCATCGTTGAGGAATTCTTTATATTTATCAGTTTTCGTTTTGACCGCATAATGAAGATATCACATAAATGCATTTTAAAAACAAGTAATCAATGATAAGGGCGCGTGGACACACTTAAAAGCGAGCTTGTCAATAAATCCTTTTTTCTCTGACCATATATATATATATATGGGCGATAATTGATCCAGTGAACTCTAGATTTCATAGCCCAAAGGATTTGTCCATTCTCAAGGATGTCAGCATACTTGAGAAGGTTGGAATACCTTTATATGATGGTATGATCTTCAGTTTTTTTTTTTTTTTGTTGATCATTGAGGAGGTTGGACCCCCTTTATATATTTCCAATGCTCTATGTGATGTATAGCTGGATACTTGAATTGCAGCTCTTTTATTAACTGCATAGATTCTTTTCATGCTTATGCCACATATGAATGTTCCATTTAGTTGTATATTTGCTCTTTTGCTTCATTTATTATGTATAAATAGTTGCGGAAATTGAATTACAAGTGCCTAGATTTCCAAACGAAACCTGAAATATAAAATCAAAATTTGCAATGGAATTTCAGCAGCGAAAATTGGTAGCAAAATTGTAATATGCAATCAAGCACTTTTACCCATGAAAAAACGATCTGGCCAAATTATACTATCGGTGACGCAATTTTTGCATAGAAAATTGCAGATGCATTCGATTTGCTTAAATCTTAGCATTGATTAGTCTAGAAAGAGAACGTCATTCTCGTGGAATTGTCATGCAATATAATATTTGAAGTGCAAATCATGGTCGGAGTTTGATCGGATGTATTTGGAAACTAACTTTTGGCGTAAAAAATAAATCGTTTTACTTTGATTGATTATCGCGACATTCCTAGAGGTAAACCACCAAGGGAAAGGTAATGTATTGTTAAATAAACAATTAACACGGACTCTTCTAAGCTCATACCAATTGTAACTTTGGGGTTTTGATTAAATCATCTTAAACATGTAATTCAATTTATTTTGGAGTTGCCACTAATCTATTATGAGTTGATAGGAAACCCAAGTAAAATGTAGGAAAATATTTTACTTCTGCAAACTAGAGATTTCATTGATACGAGATTTGATTACACTAGATATATCTAATGGCCTTTCGGTACTTTTTTCTTTATTGCAAGAATATTTTGCAAGCAATCTTGTTCAATTTTAATTCTAAACGACTAACATGTGATGGGTGATCATGTGGCCACGCAATCAAATAATATAACCCTCAATAAATCAATGCGATAAATAAATTGCTAGAAAAGGGCGAAGAACCTTGAAACGTTAAGCAAAACAAAAGCAATGCTTTATTGTCGTTCAATGCACCAAGTATTATGTAGGTTGTTAACTAAAAGCCAAACAAGAATGCATGGTCTAAACATGATTTCTAAATGCAATGTCAATTAGTTATTTTTGGGTTTTACTTTTATGAAAAACGTGATTTAATTTAAATTATATGAACATGCATTGATGAACTAGAATGAAATTCTAAATGGCATGCAAGCTAAATCAATGACTTAATGCAACTTATATGGTATTCTAATAACATGAGTTAGGATTAACTATGAATCAACCCTATTATTAGACAATGTTAGATTATTTTTATGTTTTTCTTTTATGGAAATAAAAGACTAAACCCTAGGACACTAACATGACCTAACAATGCAATCTAATTATTTTTTGTATTTTCTTTTTATGATTTAAAATAAGAAACTGCCTAAATTTACATGATGTCAAAATATATATTAACTTCTAATCTAAATTAGGTAATTTCCTAAATTACTACATATTTCATAGATATAAGGTTCTAAATTAGGAAACTTATATGGAGGCAATATAGTTGCAAATTAATTTTGGAAAATTCTTATTACAAAAATGCCCAAAAAAATTGTGTTGCATTTAAGATAGATTGCATTCGTTTAAGTTTTCTAAATTAGAACTCTATATTTTTGGGAATCATGTAGTAATTAGGAAATTACCTAATTTAGATTAGGATTTAATATGATTTTTTTCCTAGTTTAAATTAGGTCATCATGTAAATTACGCAATTTCCTATTATAACTCATAAAGCAAATCATAAAAATATTGCATGCATATCCATATATAATTAGTTAGTTTTATAATATCCATGTCATATATTACCTGTCATGTAGTAATCGCATGTTTTAGGGTTATATGATTTTAAGTCATGTCATGTAGATTAATAATTGCATCCCATGCACTACATATAGTTTAATTTTTATAAAAAGAAAATACCAAAAATATTAGCATTGCAATATAAGTTTAGCCTTTTTATTTATTAAAATAAAACTCAAGAAAAAATAATTGATCTCTCACGTAGTTTAAGTAATAGAGTTAATTTTTAATTGAATTGTTCATGTCATTAGAATATTGGTTGCATAGTGAACATGTGATTTAGATTTCATTCTATCTCATGTTAATTTAAAACCCATATAGTTATAACATT